CATGTCTGGCCGCCATTCTTGGCGGTACCGGTTCCAAAAGGACCACACCTTAGGAACTCTTGGATCGGAAATGGGAGGTCGTGGGCCCCATGGGCCCGGTTGACCCAATGTAGAAAGTTTGACCATCGGTTGACCGTGAGTCTTCTGAGGTAGTTCACCCTTCGAGAAGTTCTAGAACGACCGTGTAAACGAGGCTTGACTGTTTGTGAACTATTTTGATTATGTTTGGACGATGAGTTTATGTTATAGTGTTATTCTGATATTCGAAGTTTATCTCTTTATTTATTTATTTATTGATTATTATCATGGGTATTATTAGAGTGAATGACCGGGTGATATTGGATTATTCAAATGTTTATAAGCTATCAGGTAATCGCTTTTATTTTCTTTGGGTATTATACTATGCTGGGTTGTGTAAAGTTAGGAAAGGCTTATTAATTTGGATTTTGGTGCGGACAAGAAATTAATTAATTAAATATTTATTAAATATTTAAATTTAATATATATAAATACTTAGTGGTTTGAAGATGATGAATCATGGATATTAGTTTTTATCAGAATGTGGTGTATATTTTAAGTGTAGTTGAGAAGTAATTTTAGGAAAGTTGATATAAAAGTCGAAAAATGGATTGTGAAATAAAGGAAAATTTATGATGAATTTCAGACTATAGTTTTCAAGCCCACCACGAGAGTACCCCTAGTTTGCCTTGAAATAGTTTTGTCATTTAAAATTTTCAGAATTCCCCTCTAACCCTAAAATATTTCATTCTCTCTCTTCAACATAAATTTGTCTTAAAGTTTTCGCTCTCTCTCAATGCATTGGGTATATTCTCTTAGCTCTCTCTCAAAGCATTGATTATATTCCCTGAGCTCTCTCTCAAAGCATTGATTATATTCTCTGAGCTGTTCTACATGTAAGTACAAACCCTAATCTCTTTATTTAATGATATTGTGTTATGGCTTCACTATGCCAAATTTCACTTTCAGCAACACTAGATAGGCATCGGTATAGAGGGAAATCGATGCTATTAGTAGATTAGGCATCAATTTCATAAATAACGATACTAAACAGATATAAAGACATCAACGCACATTTTTGTTTATTTATGACGATGCCTTTATAAATACAGATGCCTAAAGTGATTAGCTTTTATTTTATTTTTAAGAGGGTCATTTTTTGGTGATATACCTCTGATGCCTAAAGTCTGAATCAACGCCCTAACTCAAAAATTTTACTCTCCCTCGCAAACTCTCTCTGAAACTTCAGCTCCCTCTCAAACTCTAGCCCCAATTCTTCTAACTCCCTCTCAATTTTTTCACTCCCTCTGAAACTGTACCCTAAAAATTCATCTCCTGAACAAAACTGTCCTTTAGTCCCTCTGAAACTCTCTCTTTCTTCACTCTCCTCCATCACTACCCCATTCTTGCTAAAACCCGCAGATGCTCAACCATTACGATTCATAGTGAGAATCATTCTTCCATTCGACGATTCTCAAGCCAGCTCACACAATTTCTCAAGCCCAGAAACTCGAACGGAAGTTTAAGTCGATGATTGTGTGATTTCATCTATTAGTTCGAAGCATTTCCCTTCCCCCCAAAATTTAGGGTTTTGACCACACCCCACACCTCCTCTTCTAGTAAGCTTTTCTTCTCTCTTCACAACTTTAATTTAAGGTTAAACATTTTTTCTCTCAATACTGGGAAAATCTTCAAATTTTAGTAATCGGCACCATATCAATTTTTATATATATATATTTTTTATAGCTTTTTGTTATATTATGTTGCTAAATTTGTGATTGATTATCTTGGAACCTGCTTGATGGTTTAATCTGATTCGGTGGCTTGGTTTATTTTTTAATTTGATTCTGTGGCTTTTGTATTTTCATGTAGAATTGAGTTTTGGGAATTTTAGTTTTTGATAGGTGTTTGCTTTCAGTCTAAGAGAAAAAATAGATATTTTGAAGCTAGCTCAGGTCTAGACCTTCCACAATTTAGAGAAGTCCATGGAACCTCTGCCATACAGAACAGAGCCATGATAGTAATCCCAGTAGAATAGCAGAATAGCAGAATAGCAGTGACAGATTATGTGCAAAGCTTTGAAGGAAGACAGTTCTTGAAAGCCAAATAGCAGAAGATCACATTTAATCTAAATTGGTTTTGTGATGAGGCTCCTCCTTACAATTTTGTACTAAAAAACTTTCCATGTTTGAAATGTCAAGGGTTAGCTAAAACGTTCATTATTGACAACTCCAAATTCCATATATAGCAAGCTATACAACACATTACAAAAATTCAAAGCACGAAAGCAACAAATTCGCATACCAAAATAAAAGCAAAATAACCACATTTTAAAAACACAAATAATTAATTTGCATGAACTATGCTCAGAAATTGTCTTGGCTTGAATTGGCTTAAGTTGAATAACACTTATCCGGTGTTTGGTGATGCTTGGATTGGGACTAAGTTTAAATTGACTAATATCAATAAATAGGATGATATATTTCAACTTCTGTTCTTCTATACAAACGTGGGTTAAAAATATTTCCAAATTTTTCTTTAATAAGGTTTATTTTTTAGGTTTATACGGGTTTTAAATTTGAAGGCATTTGTGACTATTTAGGTGAGTTTTTTTGCTATATTTAAAATATTTTACAAAAAATAACATTTTTGAAATTAAGGATCAAGTTTTGGCTATTTTTGATAAATTCTCATTGTTGATATCATATTATCATTGTCAATAACAGAATGTACCCGTTATCAATTCATTGTCATAACCAAGGTATTAAATATCGATAATATCCCCGATATTATCCCGATAATATCTGATTTTTGGGGGTCCGATATTTTAACAACTAACCATAGTGTTATCGTCAATATATCGATATTATCCCGATATTATATCCC